CTGTTTATTTTGACTTTGGAACTTTTGTTGAATAAAATACGTGGCTCAGATAAAATAAGGGGAATTAAAATTAGGCATGATGATTACAGATTACGAGCATTTGCAGATGACCTGGTTGTGACTTTGACCCAACAGTACAATCGTTTAGAGGTCTAATGGATATAATTAATCAATATGGACAAGTATCTGGATTTAAAATAAATGCAGGGAAAACAAAGATAATAACCAAAAATATGGTTACAAGTCAAAAAGAAGAAATAGAAAGAATAACGGGATTTGAAACAGTTAAGAAGGTTAAATATTTAGGAGTTTATATTATGACATCAAATGCGAAATTATATAAGTATAATTATGAATTGTTGTGGCAAAAAATACAGAAAGAGATGGAAAACTGGAAAAAAATTGCAACTATCATTGCTGGGAAGGATAGCTGCAGTGAAAATGAATATTTTGCCAAAGTTCTTATTTCTTTTTCAAATGATACCAATATTGAAAAAAGATCGAAATTTGAATGAATGGCAGAAGGGTATTAATAATTTTGTGTGGGCAGGAAAGAGACCGAGAATAAAACAAAAAATAATGCAAGATATACGTGAAAGAGGGGGTCTCAAATGCCTAATTTAAGATTGTATTATGAGGCAGCTACCCTCTCAGCAATTAGTGATTGGATTAACTCAACAGAAGAGAGAATATTGAATATTGAGGGATATGATTTGTTGTATGGGTGGCATGCATATTTACTATACAATAAAAAGGTGGACAAGAATTTTAAAAGTCATATATTAAGGAATGCATTACTACGTGTATGGAAAAAGTATCAATATAAATTAAATAATAAAGTACCTATATGGGCAATACCTAGACATACGATAGAGAATATAAGTGTAGAACAGAAATAAGATGTGATTACTTACAAAGAGCTTCTTATTATGGAAAGAGGTACATTGCAGTTAAAGCCTTTAGAGGTATTAAGAAGAAGAAGAAGAAGAAAGGATAATTCAAACTTGGTTTCAGTATGGACAGTTGTACAATAGATGGAAAGAGGATCAGAAAATTGCAAAATGAGGAAAATTTGATAAAACAAATTAGGGATCAAAGTCCAATGCATATCAAAAGGTTGTATAATGCATTGATAGAAATAGATTCAGAAACTGAGTTAGTGAAGGACTGTATGATAAAATGGGCACAAAATATTGCGGAACCAATAATGATGGAAACATGGGAAAAAATATGGGTCAGAAATGTAAAATTTACTCAAGCCCAAAACTTGCGAGAAAATTTTTACAAAATGTTTTATAGATGGCATTTGGATCCCAAAAAGTTAGCTTGTATGTATCCAAGCTTACAACCTACGTGTTGGAGATGTAAATGTGATGATGCAACGTATTATCATATATGGTGGACATGTAAAAAAATTAAAGCATTTTGGATTAAAATATGGTGGATTATACAAAATATTCTTAAAAAGAAGATAAAATTTACTCCACAGTTGTTTTTATTGGGTATAATTACAGACTGTACGGTAATAGAGACTAATTTGATTTTGAACTTAATAACTGCAGCCAGACTTTTGGTGGCGCAGTACTGGAAGAAGGAAGATTTACCTACTATTGAAGAATGGACATTAAAAGTAGCTAATTTGGCGGAGATGGCTAAAATCTCTGCATATTTGAAGGACTGTTCGAATGAAAGATACATATTGGAATGGAGAAGATGGATTGATTATATTCAAAACAAATATGGGACTAAAAAGTTGCAAATAGCTTATGAATGAAATATTTAGATGACTTTTCTTTCTACTTTGATATTTTGGTACTTATGGGGGAGTTAAAGTGTAAGGTAAGGTGACCAGATTTTAACATTGGTAAAGAGGGACACCATTGACCGGGGGGGGGGGTCAAGCCATTGACCATGGCTTGGAGGTCATGTGACTGGGTGGGCGTGGCTAGCTGGTCATGTGATCAGGTGGCCATGGCTATGTGTATACTATAGGGACTACTCAGAGGGCTGAAAAAAGGCATTTCTGACAGGTCTTCGCACTTTTGACTGGTCCTCACACTTATGACCATCCTCACATTTATGCCCATGCAGCATTCTTAACAACCATGTCACTCATTTCACAACTGCTTCTCTTCACCATGGTGATAAGATAGGGCAAAAAACATAAAATGTGAGGACAGTCGTAAATTCGGGGACTGGTCAAAAGTGCGAGGATCAGTCAAAAATAACTTTTTCAGCCCTCTGAGTAGTTCCCGTGCACAAAAGGACTACCCAGAGGACTGAAAAAGTGATTTCTGACAGGTCCTCGCACTTTTGACCGGTCTTCGCACTTATGACTGGTCATCATTTATGCCCATTGTAGCATTCTTAACAACCGTGTCACTCATTTCACAACTGCTTCTCTTCACCATGGTGACAAGATAGGGCAAAAACGTAAAATGTGAGGACAGTCGTAAGTTCGAGGACTGGTCAAAAGTGCGAGGATCAGTCAAAAATAACTTTTTCAGCCCTCTGAGTAGTCCATATGCATAAAAGGATACAGCAATAGAGAGGGATGAAGGAAGGGAAAGGAAATTAGAGTAGGAGTGAGGGTAAGAGAGGGAGGAAGAGAGGAGGAGAAGGAGAAAGGAAGAGGAAGTAGGGAGGAGAAGAAGAGGGGGGAAGAGAAAGTAAGAAGGAAAGAAAAGAGAGAGGTGGTAGGTTTGAGGAGAAAGATTGCTGTACAATAAAAAAGATGAAAGGAAAGAAAACCAACCCCAAACAAATATAAAGATATTAAGATAAAGAATGAATTGTTAAACTTTAAAGAATAAAAGAGAACAAATATGAATAAATAGCAATAATTAGAAACACACATACAAACATACAATGTATTTTCTTTGAACAGAGTATTTGGCCGCTTCACAAACTTAAACAGTGTTTAGTCATTTGAATTAAATTTACAATTTCTATATTTCCTTTTTGCCATATTTATTCCTCATCTATTTTTTAAAAAAACCAATATTACTCTTCATCCTCATCTCTAATCTTAATCAAATTCAATTTTTCCCTTCTATTTTATATTATACCCCTTCCTATTGTCATCTATTTTTATATCCATCCTCACATTGGTTAATTATGTAATTATGTAATACAGTTGTTTAATACAAATTCAACATTTTAATATAAATCAATTAGTTATATAACTATCTTTTTTGTATATTAATCAATATGAACATGAATATTCCAATTATTTCCATGCAATCCAATTTCTTACAAATTAATTAATTATATTTACCAATAATAATAAACCAAATAATTTATCCCATATATTCCTCCAAACCACAACTTAACCATTTCTGCTTTCAACAGAATATACAATTAATAGTATCTCAATTATTACAATTCCCTAGTTAAATAGGGAATATTTTCTTTTGTGTTTTAAAATCTTGAACCTCCTCTTTTGCCCTAAATTTCCCATTGTTTGCAGTTTTGCACCTACCTTTTTTGGTGAGGAAAAAGAAAAAGAAAAAGAAATCTCTCTCTGCCTCATTTTGTCACGTTGCAGCAAAGACCCTGCTTTACTTTCAGGTTCGTTTTTTCAGCATAGCTAGGGAAAAAAACATCTGCTCCAGCAATTTACCTCTTTGCAGCTACCTAGCAACAGAGCCCTCCGCAAAACAGCTGAGAGCAAATCAGCTGAGAGTCGGGAGGCTGATCAAATCAACTTATGGTAATTAACCTATGCTGAATGTTGCGATCATCCTGGTGGGCTCCTCATGAGTAGTCCAGATTAGAGAAAGCACAAGGACAGGTGTTTCTCGGGATGAGAAAAAGCCTAGAGCTGACTCCGTGACCCTCTTTTATTATACAAGGGTATAGGGCGTATCAGAAGGCATGATTACAGCTATACATTCTCATATTACATCTGTGATACAAAGGATTTTCTCCATATCTGGACATAACTTTCACATCCTACCATATTACAGTAAATCACGTGAATTCTAGGAAAGCGATACCTAATGTGAAAACAAAACTTAACTCTGCCATGTTATCATATTTGGCTTCGTTCCCAGCATCCCATCACCTGCCAACCGAGAGGCCCCGTTACCAGAGATTTACCTCAGTTGTCAGGAATGTTCTACAAGGAGATGTCTCTGCTATGCAGGCACAGCTTATGTTATGAACAAAGAGAGAACGAATAGGGCCCTTCAGAGAGTATCCAGCTGAACCCGCTTTTCATTGTTCAGTGCTAAGCTCCATACATGTGTCCAACCAATTAAACTGGTCTATACATGTACTATGGCCACTTGATTCCCACAGCTGAAGCTGAAAGGGGCTGTTTTTTCTATTTTTGCAGGCACCAGTCTACTCATTTGTTTTCTTTTAACACTGATCAGCTGTAGGGCGGCCCTTTGAAGCCCCGCAGCAAGAATTTAAACAGTTTTTTTCCCTCTAGCCATCAGCTGGGACTCAGCAATAGATTGGGAGTGGGCGGGGTAAGCGAACAGAGACCAGCGATCCAACAGAGGCAGAGGGTGAGGGTGAGTGAAAACCGTATATTTCCTTCCCGTTCTCCCACCGTTCCCTAGCTTGTCCTGCATTCTTTCAAAAAATCAGGGACAAATTGCTAAAAATCCGGACTGTCCCGCCAAAAGCGGGACGTCTGGTCACCATAGTGTAAGGGGGAGTGAAGAGCTTATAGTTAGTTTGTTTATGCTTGATTATGTTTGTTAAATGCTATACCCTGTATTTTGCTCTGGGAAGTTGGGGGGGAGGGAGAAGGGAAAGGGCAGGGGGAGGAAGGAGGGGGAATTTGTTTGTAAAAATATCTTAAAACTTTTCAATAAAAAAGAGAAAGAAAATAGAATGGAGAGAAATAAGTGCAGAAATGTTATGAAGCCTAGCTTGACAGAGGTTGTGACTTGGGTGAAGAATTCATGGGATAAAATCACTGACACCTGTGTTGCCAATGCACTATGAGCAGGCTACATGGACAAGAAGTCTAGCAATTGCTAGACATGGGGCTAATGGTTTTACAGGAAATAGAGTCACAAGACATTCAGGCTGGAATTCGGGGTTTGGAGAGTTATGACAATGTTCCAGAAGAAGATGACATCACTGTATTTGAATAAATGTAGATTGTTATATACCATCATTGTGGTTGCCCTATGTTGGGGGTTAGGTTTGACATTGTGGTTGCCCTGTATTGGCAGTTAAGGTTTGGCATTGTGGTTGCCCTGGGGGAGGGTTAGGGTTTCACATTGTAGTTGCCCTGGGGGGAGCTACGGTTTGGCATTGTGGTTGCCCAGGGTGTATGTGTTGGGGTTTGGGCTAGGGTTAGGCATGAGTAGCCTGGTTGTGGGGGCCCTGAAATAAGCCTTTGGGAAGCATATGAGGCAGCTTCCTCCTCCTCACCTCATGGCTGTGGCACCGGCACATTGCTCAGCCTCCTGCTTCCTTGCGGCTGTGAGCAAGCAGAAGAATTGGACCAGAGGCCATCAAGGTCTTGTTGGAACGGGCTGCCAGAGCCACCACCATGAGTGAGGCAGGTGTCAGGCCATGGATAGCCTGGCTGCGAGAGCCCTGAGTGGGGCATGAGCCCAGTGTGGGGGGTGTGGGGTAGCTCCACTCCCACCTCATCTCCTGGCCACGGCACCAGAGAGTCATTCAGCCTCCTGCTCTGTTGTGTCTATGAACAAGCAAAAGTGGGCGGGCAGCCACGTGGGGTCCTGCTAGATGGTGCTATCGGGCCGTTGCTGTGAGGCGAGGCAAGTGTCGGGGCCTGGATGCAGTGGTGAGATTCAAATAATTTAACAACCAGTACTCTGCTGGATAGGCATGGCTGGGTGGTCATGTGACTGAGTGGGCGTGGCCAACTTGACATAATGCACCACACCTGGCCCTGCCTTCCTTCAAGGATCTCAACAAGATACAATCTCTATTTATTTAGTATTACTGAACATCACTTAACAGTGGCAAAGAAAATCACAAAACGGAGCAAAACTCACTTAAATCTTGCTCAGCAATGAAAATTTTGGCTCAGTTGTGGCTATAAATCAAGGACTACCTTTTGGGGTGACTTTCAAGAAACGTTTCAAGACAAAATGTTTGGGCAAAGCTGGTGTTGGTTAGTGGGGGAGACGTGCTCAGCCGTGCTGCCAGATGGAGGTGGGAAATCTGAATGAGGGCAACGCTTCCTGCAAGAAGGCCCTTCGGTTGCTTCTCACACAAGGAGATTTGTGCTACCCAGCTGCCTTGGGAGTGAGGGGGAATAAAGAGGCCAACAGGCAGGCCAAATGTTGCCTCACTCGCTTACTTTGCTCTCCTGCCTCCGCTCTTGCAAGCTGTCTTTTCTCTTCCTTCTCCCTCTCCCTCCTCACTGCCAGGTGATCACATGTGAATATGGGCTCTGCAGCTGCACTTTTTAAAAAGGAATTGGAAACCTCCAATGCAGTAGCCAAGTTCCAATCCCGAGCCAAGAAAATGAGCTCTCCCCTCCCCACCAAGAGAGGCACGTAGGCAAGTCTCTCAGGCGCCATGAGATGTGTGCATGTTTGCTGTGTGTATGTTTCAACAAAAAAAAAGAGGCGGTCATTGGGGAGGAAGTGAGGAGAGTAAGTAAGGGGCCTCTGAAGGAGGGGAAACAGGGTAGAGGTAAATGAGCTGAGCTGTGAAGGGTGGGACCATGGTGGAAACATGTGGAAGCAAGTGGGGAGGTGTCTCTTTAGAAAGGCAGGAGATGGGCACACAGACTGAACACTGTGGCTTCTTTTGTAGGGTCTGGAGCTTAGCAGGAACAGTTAGAAAGTGGTGTCAGTTGCACCCCTTACCCTGAAGCAAACTTTTCTTTGAAGCCTGGATGGCTGAATGCTGTTCTGTCTTTTCAGTTGTCCTTTGTATTCCCTGCCGCCACTGGCCCCACTGTCTTTTGCTGGTCCACGCTAAGAAACTTGAGTTTACTCCATGAACCTTGCTCTGCTGCCTTTCCATCCTTCCCCCCTCCCCACATTAAATTTCTCATCCTCCCCCATGTTCTAGGCCTGATTTAGAGAGATGAAGCAGACGCACCGGGTGGGGAGGGGACACCTGGATTTTTTGGCTCGGGATTGGCCACTGCATTGGAGGTTTCATTAAAAGTCCTTTTCAAAAAGTGCGGCTGCAGATCTCTTCCCTGGGAGCAAAACCTGGCTTCTATGAACTGATTTGTCCTGAAGGCGAGATCCAGAGTTTCCACATGCCTCTGACGGCTGAGTGCCCTGTCCTTCAGATCCCAATGGAGCCAGCGCCCACTGGCACCAGCGCTCCAGGTGTGCGGTGGGTGGGCAGATGTGCATGTGTGCAATACAGCAGTGCAATGGTCTCAGTCCCAGCGCAGCAATATCCCAGAAGCAGTGTGTCTCCCCTTTGTGGCCTGAATGCAGAACCCGAGGCAGAGGAGAGGGTGAGCGGGTGGGTGGGATGTGAGCGGAGGCCCTGCAGAAGGTGAGAGGCAGGAACTGGCATGTCCCCCCAAGCTGAGATGGAGGGTGAACAGGTGGCATGTAGACGGAAGGATGGCAAGAGCAAGGCCCCAAAGGCAGCTGAACCTTGCCATGTCCACCCTGAAGTGGCTGAGCACCTTACCTTCGCGGGCATTCATGATGAGCAGAGCGGGCAAAGTGCAGAGATCAGCTGGGTCATGTGACCAGCGTGGTAGGCCATGGCAAAGACAGCCAAGTGGGCAAGGCCCAGAGTTCAGCTGGCCACAGGGACTCTGTGGTCTGGGCAAGTGAGCAAGCAAAGGAGCCAGAGAGCAGCTGGGCCGCAGGCATGACTCTAGGCAGCAGCCAAGGTGGGTGAGGTGAGATAAGGAGTGACTGGGAGGGGTGGAGTGGAAAGGGGCAGAGTGGAGCAGGGCCAGCTAGTGGTGCGATTGGCCGGTTCTCTGAACTGTGCAAAATCTTAACAACGGTTCATCCAAAACCGGTCTGAAACAGCTGAAGCCCATCTCTGTGTAGATGGCCTGGCTGTGGGGCCTGATGTAAGCCAGTGCAGGGTAAGTAAGTAAGACATCCCCTGAAAATACGTCCTGGTGCTTATTCTGGAGCCCAAAGGAAAATAAAACCGGGTCTTATTTTCGGGGAAACACGATACATAACGTGGATCACCATAGTGAACACCTTCAAATTTTTGGAATGTTGGCATTCCTCCATCCATCAATGTTTTTTTTAAAAATAATATTTATTAAATTTCCAACATATAAAACACACAATACAAAGAACACAACAACAACAACAACAAACAAACAAAGAAAAAGACACAGCAAAAATTTAACACTAATGACAGCTTTTCCATATCGGTATCTCTATCATAACAAACATATTTACAAGGATTCTAATTCTATATATCTCTATCTTAAATTACATCCTTATTTAAATTATAGTAACATCTATTCACAATTCAGTTTCATATCCTATATTCTTCAACAGTTTTACGTTCTACATATTATATTTAACAGATTATCCCTTAGGTTTTACGTTTACTCTCAAGCCAGGAATGTTATATATTGTAATTTTTTCTACATTTTCCCTTCAAAAATGCCCAAAAGAAATAGTTCCAGCTTCACCTCTATCCTCTGTTCAATTATCTGTTCCAACCATTTTCTTATCTTACACCAGTATTTTCTAATCTTAGGGCAGGTCCACCACATATGGTAGAATGTTCCTTGTTTATGACTACATCTCCAACATTCTGGGGACCTATTCAAGAACATCTTGGCCAATCTCGCTGGTGGCAAATGCCATCAATAAAACATTTTGTAAAGGTTCTCCTTATATGCAGCTGACATCATTAGTTTGTAGTTTCTCTCCCATAATTTATCCCATTAATCTAATTGAATATTGTGTCCAAAGTTTCTTGCCCAAGTAATCATTGTCTCAAACTCAAATGGAAGTTTCTTCTTCCATTTTAAATTTTAACAAAAAAATGTACCGTATTTATCAGCGTATAACACGCACTGGCGTATAACACGCACCTTAATTTTAAGAGGGAAGTTTCAGGAAAAGAAGTAAATTTTAAATAAAGAACTTTGAAGCATAACAAAGGTAGTTCAATCACAGCCACAGTCACAATGCACTGCACACAACTGGCTCACCCACAATGTAAAAGCAGCTGTGCTAGACCCAAAATGGCCCCTGCAACAAGCAAGAACCTCACACAGCCACAAAAAGCCCAAAAAACCAACTTTCACACTTTACACACACAAAATTCCACATACAACTTTGTGAGATTTTGTGTGTTTGTGTAGTTAGAGTGAAACACTACAGAAACACACTAAATCTCAGAAAGCTGCACAAATATTATGTTATTTTTATTTATTTTTATTTTATATAAAAGCAGCTAAATTTAAAACTTCCTAAACTTTAAATGTCTAAGTCGAAAAAAAGAACAACTAAAAAAAACCCCAATTAACTATTTTTTTTAAAGCTCCCAAAGGGGAAAAAAACTTACCCAACAGAAAGGGGTCTCCAATCTTGGCAACTTTAAGACTTGTGGACTTCAACTCCCAGAATTCCTAAGTCAAGGCAGGAAGGCAGAAAGAGCTGCTCACCGATGAGCTTGATTGCAGCCAGGGATATTCAGTTGATTGCTGATGCAATCTTCATGCAATCAGCAACTAAGGTAAGGAAGCCGGAGGCTGGGAGATTGGGGGGGGGGGGGGAGAAAAAAAGAAACTTTTTTTCTTTTACATGGCTCTGGCGATCCTGATCCTGAGTTGCCTGATTAGCAGGCAATTCAGCTGGGATGTCAGAGCTTGGCTGCTTAGAGCCATTTAAAAGGGAAAAAAGCCTCTGATGATCGTGGGGCTCAGCTGGGCATGGGGGGCGGGGGCAGGGATTTTTGCTACCGGTTCTCCGAACTGCCTGCCGCCATCGCTACCTACTCCCCCGAGCCAGTCCGAACCGGGAGCATTTCACCCCTGCCCAAGACCCCAACATACCCCAGGCTATCTCCGACAGTGTCTCAGATGTTGTAAACTCGCCATTCGTTCTTTTTACAGTATTTTTTAATACATATCAGCGTATAACGCGCACATGCAATTTTCACATTATTTTCAAGATGAAAAAGTGTGCGTTATATGCCAATAAATACGGTACGTTTTTGTAATCATTTTTTCCCCTGTTCCTAATAGTACCTTATCAAGTTCCAATTGCTCTCTATAGATACCATATTGTTCCCAGTCTTTTTTATATTTTGTTCTAATTTGAAGGTATGGCCACCAGTCAATTTTTATCCCCTGGTTTTTTAAATCCTGCTCTGATTTTAAATTTCCAAATTCATCTAATAGTTCCGAGTACCTTACTACTTTGTTTATGTCCAATATGTTGGGGTAAATTATGGTTTCCATTATTGATATCCAAACTGGAACTTTCATATAATGATTTTTCCTTATGTTATCCCAAATATTTATCAAAACATTTCACACTAGATGTCTCTGGAAGTATGTATGGGTTTTGTTTTTTCTTTCCCATAGGAACGCATGCCATCCCAATTGAAGGTCGTGGTCTTCCAATGTTAATACTCTCTTATTTCTTAACTGAACCCAATCCTTAAGCCACGTTATTGCTGCTGCTTGATAATATAATTCCCAATCGTGTAGGCTGAAGCCTCCATTGGTTCTGGAGTCCTGAAGAAGTTTGCATTTTATTCGGGCTTTTTTTCCCAGCCAAATAAATTTGCCTATTATTCTATTTAATTTATCAAATAATGTTTTCCCTAATCTTATTGGTATCATTTGGAAGAGGTATAACAATTTAGATAGTACGTTCATTTTTATTGTGGCAATTCTACTGACTAAAGATACTTGTAATTTTGCCCAAATGTCTAAGTCTTTTTGTATTTCTTGTACCTATTTATCATAATTATTCTCTTTTAATGTAGAACATTTTGCCATTAATCAAATTCCCAGATATTTTACCTTTTTAACAATTTGAATCCCCAATTTCTCTTCCAATTCCTCATCTTGCCTTTTTATACAATTCTTAGTTAATATTTTAGTTTTTTCCTTGTTTATTTTAAATGCAGCCACTTTAGCAAATTCTTCAACTTCATGTATAAAGGTGGTTCCCATCTCCATAGGATCTTCTATAATAAAAACCAGATCATCCACGAAAACTTGGACTTTATATTCCTCCTGTTTAATTTTCAATCCTTTTATTGTTTGGTTTTGTCTAATTTGTATTAATAATATTTCCAATGATAGTATGAATAAGAGGGGTGACAAGAGACATCCCTGTCTTACTACCTTAGTTATATTAATCTTCTCCATTGTTTCCCCATTTTTTATTATTATTTAGCTGATTGCTTCAAATAAATTGCTCTGATCATGTCCATAAATTTCTCCCCAAAATTCATAATTTCCAATTGATTAATAAGAAAGTTCCAGTTTAAATTATCAAATGCTTTTTGAGCATCTACAAACATTAATGCCAGCTGCTTATCCGGGTGGGCCTTATATTATTCTAATGAATTCATAATCATCCATGTATTGTTCCTTATAAGTCTATTTGGCAAAAATCCATTTTGGTCTGAATTAATAATTTCATTTAATATTTATTTGGCTCTTTCAGTCATTATCGTTATGAATATTTCCACTGGTCACTGTATCTCTTTATAGAACTCAGAGGGGATACCGTCAGCTCCTGGAGTTTTGTTACTTTTTTTGCTTTTGAATGCCTTCATCTCCATCATCATGATTTTATTATTTAACATCTCTTTCATTTCATCTGCTATTATAGGGAGATTTCTATCCTTTAAATATTTCTTTATTTCTTCCTCTTCTATTTTCTTTTGACTATAAAGTTTTCCGAAATAATTTTGGGCTATTCTCTTTTTTTCATCCATTCGATGATGGTTATTCCCCTCTTCGTCCTGCAATTGTGTTATTAATCTTTTTTCTTTGTCCTTTTTCAATTTATACGCCAGCCATCTCCCCGGCTTATTGGCATGTTCAAAATGTACCTGTTTCATTGCTCTAAACTTTTGGGCCATTTCCTCCTGGGAGAACAAATTTATTTTATGTTTGATCAAATCAAATTTTCATATTTGGGGAATCTTGCATCTTATGCTCTAATTCTCCCAGTTTCTCTTGTAATTCCGATTGCTGTTTCCTTTTTTCTTTGTTTCTCCTCGCCCCATATGCTATTGTTATATACCTCTGATATAAGCCTTGGTTGTATCCCAAAGATTTGCAAGGTCGTATCCTCATTTGAGTTTTCCTTCAAGAAAAAGTCCAGTTCTTTTTTCCATCCATTGTATATACTTTTTCTCTTTTATCACCCTTTGATTCATGGTCCATCTTCCCCTTGTTTTTATTCTTCTTTTCCATTTTAATATCAGTGGGCTATGATCTGCCCATGTATTTGATGCTATTTCTATCTCATCTATATTTTTGTTTAGTTCCAAATCCATTCAAATTGTGTCTATCCTGGACCATGAATCATGTGGGTTAGAATAAAAAGTATACTGGGTTTTTTTTGTGGATTTCATTCTCTTCTCATCCTTTAAGTTCAACTCTTGCATCATGTCAAAAAAAGTAGTCGGTAGTGTCTTCCTCTTCTTATATTCCCCCCCCCCCCGGTATGTAATCTTGTTTTGAGTCTACGACTGCATTAAAATCTCCCAGTAAACAAACATTTTCACTTTCCAATTCTGCAATTTTTTAAATGTAATTTATAATAAAATTCCTCCTGTTTGGTATTTAGTGCGTAGATAGTTGCCAATAAAATAATTTTTTGTGTTATTCTTATTTCAATTAATAGAATTCTACCTTCCTCATCAACATAAATTTGT